TAATACATTTTATTTCCTCGATATCCTCTTAAGAATATTCACGTACAGCCAAATTGCCTGATTATGCCTACCCTTCCTCACATTTCTTTTTAGAAAGAGGAGGTACTGTATCCAAGTTGAGAATCTTCTTGTATCATCTGAAAAATATAAGTGAAATTCAAATTCCTGGGAATTTTTTCCATTACTTAATAGCATGGAATGGTATGGATGATTTTCAAACCCAGTCAGGAGGTAAGATAAACAGAGAAGATTTTATTGCGATTATTTCAAAAGAAAAACATCTTATCAACAAATATAAAGATTTTTGAGTTGACATGGTCGTTGCTTATGGTATTTCAAGAATACAAATATTTAATATATATGTCAAGGAAGAATATGCAAAAACCCAGTCATCACCTACCAGACCAGGAGATTTTATTTAAATTTTTCTCTTTAACTCCAAAATAATCCAGTGGTGTGCAGTCTCTTTTGAGATCATAGAATTAATTCATGTGAGGAAAAGGAAGTTGACTACAATGCAACAGACTCTCAAATAATAGGCTAATGGTTATTGTATTTAAATATCTGGTCCACTAAAGTCTTAAGTAACAGTAACAAGGAGAAAGAACACATGGCGATTTATATATTATTCATATATAAACTATAGCCAATAAGGGTTTGAGAAAGCATATAATTAAAGGTACTTGCAGTAAAAATAGAATTAACAACAAGTAATATGAAAGAGAGGTGAGAAATAATTACAACTGAGTGTTAGTTCGAACCCCAGGCAGCCAGGGTAAAAGAAAAAATATTAAACTTTTTTGAGTTCTTATTTACATAGTAAGTCAAATTCCACTATACTAGGCCTAAATTTCCCACAATAGACCTGAAAGGAATTTGGGGTAGGCTTTCATTTGAAGTCATTGTTGTGGATAATGTCTTTATAAGTGGTTTTCAAAAGGGCTAAATTTATTCTCTATGTGCATAATTATCATATAGACCCTTTTTCAAAGTTCAGTTCATCTAATTAAATTGTGGTTTTATAAAATTTTTGTACCATAAAAATAAGTGAACACTGCAGAACAGAACAGTGGTAATCTTTACTACTATCAGATATTGAACATTTTCTGCATTGATCTCACTGGGAGCTGCAGACCGGAGCTGTTCCTATTCGGCCATCCTTTGAAATTTCAAATTAATTTCTTTGTAAAAAAAAAAAAAAAAAAGTCATAGTAGTATTTGGGTTATTTTGACAATTAAGTAATAAAAATTATATGAAATGTCAAATACATACTAATACTTCACATGTTATAAATTGCCCTTCCCTTTGTGAGCTAAAATAATATGTCTTTCCTCATGGTGTATTAATTGAGGGTTAGAGTATACCTATAAATTGATGGTTGACATGTCCATTAAACTTTGTGTAATATCAATGATCTTAACTGCTCTCTTTAGAAAAGCTGGAGATTACACAATTGTTTCTTCTAGGGAGTATTTAGGGTACAGATGTTACATGGTTTTGTGGGAAAAAAATTAGTACTTTAAATGTTAGACCTTCAAGTAGCTAAGTTAATAAAGCAAAGCAAAACAAGGTTAGATGTTTTTCTAGAAAGTTAGAGAGTTTGACTTCTGGCTTAAATTGAAAAGTCATAAACTTTGCTTAGGTCTATCGCAACACTAAAGCAGCCCCAGAGCATTGAATCATAGACTGGTTATTTCTTACAGGGGCTGGAAGAGGGGTATTTGAGGGTGGCAGGATTCCAGCTAGTTTAGAGCCTGTTGCAAATACAAACTTCATCTTCTAGTAACAATTCTGTTCTAGGCATTAATGGTCTGCAATCTCCTTTGAGATCATTTGATTAAGTATCAAGTTCTTTATCTTGGTTACCTTCAGAAAACAATAAAGACTGTTACCTAGAAGATTTTAAGTGTAGGGATATAAATGCTCTAGATGCAATACAAAAACTAGTGAGTTCCTGTGGATAACTGGAAAGGACACACCAGCACAATTCAGTCACATTGTGCAATCTCTAGACAAAATTGCTGTACTATTTCAATTGTTTTAACATTGATTACTCTGAGTTAGTCTTCCTAATATAATTATAGACAACTGTTTCAGCGTTTTTCACTTTTGTTTACATTTTACTTTTATATATATATTTATTTAGAAATGTAGATACTAAGAAAAGTAGAAAAAAGTTATCTAAAATAACCGTTCACATTTTGGCTATTTCTTTCCAGCCTTTATTTTCTATCTGGGTTATCTTGGTTTAGGCTTTCGTTTTGCACACAGTGTTATAATATATACTTTTGTTTCTGTTTTAACTTAATCATCTTAAAATAATTTAAATATGACTTTTGTGTTCATACAAATTCCCCACAAACATCATATTAATAGGTGCATAATGGCCCATTACATGAGTGTACTATGATTATTTGACAATTCCACTAACATTAGACAAGAGTAAGACTCTTTTAAAAGATAATATCCAATAAGAGCAAAGATCTGGAAAGAATAAAATTATTCGATACTAGAAGTCCCATGGAAAGTGATTTATTAGAAACTATTCAGCATCTTAACAATCTTCATTTCCTGTTCCCAAGAAGATTCTGGGAATCCATGTTAGGAAATTAAACCTAAGTGCAAAAAAATGAAGGCATAATGCCTACAGAGTGTTTGTGACTCGCTTCTTAAATTACACCAACATTGCAAGAGTAATTCAAATAATTTATTCTATATTGTTCATTATTCCTTTTTTCCCATTTGAAAGCATCAAAGCAGATTGGTGGTTTCTCTTATAAATATTTGCAAGTGAAATTATGATTGCAGCAACCATCTTAGGGCTGTTCAGATACTATTTATACCATAATTATTTTCCAAAATTAATTTTCAAATAGGAATCAATGTTTAGATGTTCCAAGAAAAGAAAAGAGAAGGCAGTCTACCTGATTCATATCTTGCCTGAAAAAATTTCAATGCAGATTTTCAAGGCCTCTATGTAAATTTCATTGGCAGATTCAGAGTAGGTTAATATATGCAGCTACAGTCATTCAAATTCCTATCTTACTACCAAAAAAAGTGTATGCTGGCCTACCTAACACTTTCTACCTTCTTTGTAATTCATGCCTAGAAAGTAGGATGTAGCTTGAATTAGTTGAAAGCCCTCATTTCCATAGCCAACAGAAGTATAAGCATCCAGCCAGGGGTGGTGGTTCATGCCTGTAATCCCAGCACTTTGGGAGGCCAAGGTGAGCGGATCACTTGAGGTCAGGTGTTCCAGACCAGGCTGGCCAACATGGTGAAACCCCGTCTCTGCTAAAAATACAAAAATTAGCCGGGAGTGGTGGCATGCACCTATAATCCCGGCTACTCAGGAGGCTGAGGCAGGAGAATTGCTTCAACTCGGAAGGCGGAGGTTGCAGTGAACCGAGATCACGCCACTGCACTCCAGACTGGGCAGCAGAGTGAGACTGTCTCAAAAAAAAAAAAAGGAAAAGAAATATAAGCATCCTTTTATGCCGATTATCTTGCCTGACCATTGTAAACCGGAGTTTTCATAGAAAGCAGCACAACCTGTGGGCAAATGATTAGCACAGAAATGGCAAATCCTGTACCAGAAACACAGTCATTTGTTTAAAATATTAAGTCAAAATTCATTCATTGCATCAATTTTTTTCCACTAGGGATATATTTTAAAGCTAGATAGAATACCATGAGGATGTTGAGATGTTTTCAAAATTATATTCTGTGACTTATTTGCTATAAAGAAGAAGGCAATCTGCTAATATCTACCCTTTAAGTTTTTTCAGATTAAAGTCATTTGTTCCATGTTCTTTGGTGCACTACTCAGGTGCCTGAACCGGACCAATATTCCTTCTTTAGGAAAACACTGGCCCTAACTGCAAATTCAACAAGAAGAGGAATGAATTTCATATGGACAGAGGTAAAAGGCAGGTTCTTCTCTGTGCAATTTGGTTGCTTGCATATATAACCAGAATTGATTGCAATAAACTACACAGAAGTATCTTCATGCTTCACCAGTGTTCAGTTTAGCATTGTCTATTGTCCAGTTGCTATTTTATACACAATTGAAGTAGCAATAGCACTGCAGTGGTATTGGAGTCAGATGATCTGAAAGGCCTTGCTACTCAGGTATGTTCTGTAGACGAGCAATATCAGCATCACCTGGGAACATGTTAATAAATGCAGCGCTCATAACCCACCACACATTTCTTGAATCAGAATATTTTACAAAATTCCTCACGTGACTTGTATGAAGACTAAAGTTTGAAAGCACTCCACAAGATAGCTGGATCTCTTCCTCAGTTGTACATTAAAATCACCTGAAGAGTATTATAAAAAAAAAGAAAAGATGCCTGATTCCCACCCCTTCGATAGAACTTACATCATTTTGGGAGGGTTATAAGGTATAGTTTTAAAAAATGGGATTTAAAGACAAAAAAGTGAAGCTTTGCATAACAACTCCTTCACTTACTATAATTGTATGTAAGTTTCTCACTAGCCTTCATTTTCTTCAGGGAATTATAGTGTAATAAGATGAATAATATGTGAACATATTTGTAAACTACAAAAAACTAAGCCAATGGCATTAATTATTTTCATGGCATAAAATCAAACTATAAATCTTTGTCGAACAGATTAAAGCATGCTCTCTTCAAAATACTGATTTTCAAAGTGGGATCTGTGGATCAACTGCATGAGAAGTAACAGATGCTTGTTAAAAATGCAAATGGTTCCTCCCTGCCTCACACCTCTTGCATCAAGATCTCAAGAAATGGAATACGGAGGCCTGCACTTTTTAACAAACTACCAATATAATTAACATGTGTCTTCAATTCACTGTTTTATGATCTAGAAGAGGAATCCCAGAAGCTAACCTCAAAGCTGTTACCACCACTTTAGCCAGCAGAGATACACTTGCCCCTCCCACATCAATTACCTCTCACTTCATATGTTAATGCTATACAGACTTGTTAAATTCTAGGTATAAAACAATAACATGGGAAGGACCAATTGGACAGAGATTGAGTTCATTCTGCAGGGACTTTCAGAGTACCCGAGAGCTGAAAAATTCCTTTTCGTGATGTGCTTGGTGATGTACCTGGTGATTCTCCTGGGGAACGGCACCTTGATCATTCTGACACTCCTGGATCCTCGTCTCCACACACCCATGTACTTCTTCCTTGGGAATCTTTCCTTCTTAGACATTTGGTACACATCCTCCTTCATCCCCTCAATGCTGATACACTTCCTATCAGAGAAGAAAACCATCTCCTTCACTAGATATGTGGTTCAAATGTCTGTCTCTTACACTATGGGATCCACCGAGTGTGTGCTTCTAGCAGTGATGGCATATGACCGTTATGTGGCCATCTGCAACCCTCTGAGATACCCCATCATCATGGGCAAGGCCCTTTGTATTCAGATGGCGGCTCTCTCTTGGGGACTAGGCTTTCTCAACTCATTGACAGAAACTGTTCTTGCAATGCGGTTGCCCTTCTGTGGAAAAAATGTCATTAATCATTTTGTTTGTGAAATATTGGCCTTTGTCAAGCTGGCGTGCACAGATATTTCCTTGAATGAGATTATTATAATGTTGGGCAATGTAATATTTTTGTTTTCTCCATTACTGCTGATTTGTATCTCTTACATCTGTATCCTTTCTACTATACTAAGAATCAATTCAGCTGAAGGAAGGAAAAAGGCCTTTTCCACCTGTTCAGCCCACATGACAGTGGTGATTGTGTTTTATGGGACAATTCTCTTCATGTATATGAAGCCGAAGTCCAAAGACTCTGCTTTTGACAAGCTGATTGCCCTGTTCTATGGCATAGTCACCCCCATGCTCAATCCTGTCATCTATAGCCTAAGGAACACAGAGGTGCATGGAGCCATGAGGAAATTAATGAGTGGACACTGGTTCTGGAGGAAATGATGACACACTGACACCTTTGAGTTTATGCACAAAATACACTCACAAGTTTGAGAGAAGACTTTTAAAGATAGAGGGAAAGCAATTAAGGTCATGTTGAGTCAGAATTTCAGAGTTACAAAAAATCTGAAGATTAAGAGTTTAACTGTATTGCTTTATGAAAATGACTGATTGCATTAAAATATAGAAACAAGTGCTCTGTGAGAGCAAACTTTTGGAAACAAGAAAAATATTTTAAGTAAGTCTTTCTAAGAAAATCTAGCTCATTAATTTTAACAATTAAAACACATTTGTCAGCCCTCTTTAAAAAAAAAAAAAACTATGTTGTGTTTTTGTTCTTTTATTCTTGCTCTTTATTTTATCCAGGGACTGGATCTGGTCCCAACTTTCCTTTCCAGCTACATATTTCAACCTCTTTCCCTGTCCTTTCCCTCCCACTACCCCTTTGCACAAGCTATGTTCTATTTACTATGTAATTACCAAATTATATCATTTTGTTTCACACCTAGTGACAATAGCACATGCTATTCCATCTGCATTTTCACATTTCTCCTTCTCAGGTGAAATCCTAACAATCTTATAAAGGACAGGTCAAGTGTCATAGTCTCTGCAACACAATCCAAAGCTTTCCCAGACTTAGCTATTCCCTCCTCCGTGCTGCCCTGGACTTTATCTCCACTAAGCGATTTTTCTTTTATACTCTAATCATTTATTACCTTCCGAAATTCTTCCCAATAGCAGAACAATGGCTCACTGTTCTCTGCATAAAATCTAATGTCAAGTTAATTAAAAACAGTTGGCAATAATTAACTGTTGAATTAATTAAAAATTTTAAAGGATGGTAAAATACGGTCTAAGTACCTGATTTAATACAGGGAGATAACTGAAATTTATACATTATTTCCTTTACCAAACTACAATTCTAAAAGATTTTGGTAAAATAACAGCTGATTTTTAAACGTAGAGAAAAATTAGAGAAGATAAAGTCTGAATAAAATATTCTGAAGAGATCATTTTGGCCAGGTAAGACAAAAAATCCTAATGTATATTATTATCAAATAAGCAATTGCTGAGAAAAATATATCAATTGTATAAATTCTTATAGAACACTGACAATTTCAATTTCTTTCAAAAGCAATTGATAGTCTCATTTAAAATATTTTCCTTTCATTATAGTCTCATTTAAAATATTTTCCTTTCATTAGAAAAAACCTTGGACTGGCTAGTAAATAATACACAGTTGTATTTTTTGTAAAATATATATTTGCATAATATATAGTTGAGCTGCCTGGTACACTGTCATAGCCTGAGCTGGGTGAGGAACTCAGCTCAGGCTATGAGCTGAGGCTATGAACTTACTTGTTCAGTAAAACCAGTAAAGATTTTTATAACCCAATGGCATTGAGAAAGGCATCCTTGCTTGTTCTGCCCAGCATGATGTTTTGGAGCCTGTCCAGAATAAGGGAGATGTCAACATGGAAGAGAGGCTCAGTTCAGGGCGTCAAAGTCCAAGCAGCATGAAAGGGGCATATACACGAGAGGAAGGTGTAGCACCTGACTGAGGACCACACCTGCAAAGAAAAGCTGACTGACAGAAGATATTAGAACACAAATGGGATAAGGGAAACACCTGCACACCATAGGTGGTCAGGAGAGAGTTGTCAGAGTCCTCATGGGGTGAGAAAAGCATCCATAGTGGGATGGGGAGGTTCAAAATATGGGTATCCAAGTCTGAAAGGGGTGAAGAGAGAATCCCTGAAGAAAGACCTAAATGGAGTGAAAAGAACTCACCTGAGGAGGGGAGAAGAGTCAAGGTGTGTGAGAAACCGATTAGGGTGAAGTGGGCATTTTTGAAGGAAACGGCCTTGTCTGAAGTGTTGGAACCCAAGCCAGTTGAGAAGAATGTCAGCAGTCACAGCTCACTGCAGCCTCGACCTTCACTGGCTCAGGTGATATTCCCACCTCAGCCTCCTGAGTAGCTGGGGCTACAGGCACATGCCACCACACCCAGCTAATTTTTGTAATTTTTTGTAGAAATGGGATTTTGCCATGTTGCCCAGGCTGGTCTCAAACTCTTGGGCTCAAGTGATCAGCCTGCCTTGGCCTCTCAAAGTGCTAGGATTACAGTCATGAGCCACCATGCCAAGTCAGGATTTCTTTCAAGGTAAGACTACTAAAGAAGAATTATTTGTGTAGATGGAGGGAAGTTAAGGGGAAGAGTCTGGAAATGTTTTCATTTTGTTCTCAATTTAAAGGATACTTTCACTGAGTATACACTTGTTGGTTGGCAATTTTTTTTTCAACATTTAAAAAATGCTGTTCTTTATATTTGGTATCCACTGTTTCTGCTGAGAAGTTGCCTCTGTTTTGTTGCTGCTTCTTTGAAAATATGTGTCTTCTTTTTTCTTTTGGTTGTTTTTATATTTTTTCTTTAGAGTTGGTCTCTGAAATTGTATAACAAGGTTCTTATAGTTGGCTTTTTTTAACTCATCCTCCTTGATGTTATAGATCTCTTTAAATCTGTGGCTTGATGTCTTTTATAAGTTTACCAATTTCATTTGACATTTGCCATTTTTTCTTCTATTCCATTTCTCTTTCTCCTGTCCCTCTGGAACAGGAGGGACATCTAGTTAGATATATGTTAGATTTATGTCAGATATATGTTAGATATATGTTAGATTTTTCTAGCATCTAGTAAGACATATGTTAGATTTTTCCATTATATTCCATGTAGCTCTCACAGTCCTTTCTGCATTTTACTTCCTTTGTCTTCTCCATGTGTCCAGTCTGGTTATTTTCTACTGATCTACCTTCCAGTTTGTTAAGCCCTTCTTCAACCTTGTCTATTCTGCTATTAAATCTATGTATTTAGTTCTTAATACCAGTTACTGTGGTTTGGAAGTCCATAATTTCAATTTTTAAAATATAACATTAAGTTGTCGGTTGAAATCCTCATCTTGTTATCTATGCTCATGGCAGGTTAACATTAGTTATTTTAAAGTCTGTGTCTGACTGCTTCTATACTTAGATCACCTGAGGGTCTTTCAATTGTCTGTTTTTGTCTCTTGGTCCTGTTTTCTTATTCTTTGTAATTTTTTTATTAAATGCCAGATACTGCAGATGAAAAAAATGTAGAATCTCTGGGTGATGTTTTATTTATCCAAAGAGGATTTACTTTATCCTTCAGTAGAAACCCAGAGTAAGGGAGATTGTCTTAGGTCAAAGACGGGTTGAAATAACTTAGAGTTGGATTTCAGACTTTGTAAATATAAGCCAAAATCTAATTCATCTCCTTTTCTTAGATTCTCTTCTCCAGAGTCTCCAGATTCCCAACTGAGATTCTAGAGATTTCATTAAAAAAAACTTTTTTTTCCTTAGGTCCTAGACTCCAATTTTGATCTCATAACCACATGAGGCAGCCACAATCTCACCTAACATTCTTAGTTATTTTTTGTACAATCCTGGCTTCTTGTTCTGACTAGCCTAGAGTCAGCAAATGCCTCATGTGGAAAACCAATGACAACAGTGGAGAGCACTCATCTGTACATCCCTTCAGTTTGGGACCTTGGCCTCTCAAGAACAGGGTGTCTTAGCTGGTCTAAAGTTCATGTTTTGTCTTCCTAGACCCATGACAATGCCAAAATCTATTTTCACTTTTTCTGTCTCTTAATAGCAGCCCTATGCCCAGTTTCTCAGCCTATCAAGCAACAATTAAGAATCAGCAAATGTCCCAAGAGAATAAAAGAGGAGTACAGAAGGTTTGGCTTATTTAAATAAACTTCTCTTTTCTTCAGAATCTTAGCTCTTTATATCCTGACTTCTACAGAAATAATAAAGTCCATTTACTTTAAAAAACATTGCTGGCTGGGAAGAGACTGCCCTCCATGGGCTAGTGAATTCTTAGAGATAGAAAAAAGCTCAGCCAGGAGCATACCTCTGACATGGAAACTAACTAATCCAGAGCCATACCTTCTTTATCTGGCCCTTAAACCCCAGTTCCCAGTGACAACTGCCAGACAACCAGAGATCACTCCTTTAGCCCAAACCCTGCAGAAATTATTCAAACCTTCCAATCCTAAACTGTTCACTGTGCCTTGACTTGCCTTTCCTGTGGAAACTCCAATAAAGGCAGTGGCCTAAACCTTCCCCGCACACCTGTTTTTTACCTTCTGACCATCCTGGTGGCTTCCCCATGTGGCCCTGTGTGATGTATCATGCCCCTTATCTCTAAGACTTGTGAGTATAATAAACTTTGCTTTCCTGACCCTCTTCTGTGTCTCCTCATGTGGCTGCACCTGACTAACAATTTCGTAAAAGACTACAAAACAACTGTGTTTTGGGGACCTGATATTGGATCTGTGGTGGAAGGAAGATTGCTTCTGGTTATTGCCATGCATATGTTTAGCATGTTTAGCACTTTAGAGTGTATCAGTGCTGGCTGCCTTGTGCTAGCCTATTCTTCTTATAATAGATATTCTGGATCAAAAAACATTTTAACCCTGGATATAGCTGTCACAAACACAAGCAATATCTATTATCACAGTGGAGTATTTAAGAGCTGAGAAAAATAAGGTAGAATGAGAAAATTTTATTTGAAAAACTTACTGTTGCCTGACATTGGCTATGGGCTATTTAAAACTAGGTTTTGAGTTCTGTAAAAATTAAGATTCTCTTTTCAGCAAATTGCAGAAAACATAAAATATTTTAGCACCAAAATATTATAGCAAATGTAAAGTCAATTTCATACTATGAGGTATAAATGAGCTCCCAGGAATCCTATAAAACATTTTTCTAATGATACGAGTAAGGCAGCACAGAAGAGATGGAAATAAGTAAAAAAAAAAAAAAAAAAACCTGGCCACTATCTGGTGTATAATAAATATAAAGGAAATTACAAATTTCAAAGTAAATTGTGGAAAACATCATTATAATAGAGTCTCTTGGTAAATTTTGATGTGGCCAATGTAACTGCACTATAAGTAGATTCTGAGACAGGATTTCTT